GGTGATTAAATGTCCAGTAGAGTGCTGGATAAAAATAAGGTTCAGAAGAGGGGACTCCAAATGTATGTGCCCTTAAAATACAGTGATTACACATGTGGTGTTATTCAGTCATGTGACACTCTTCACGACCACATGGATCATAGCATGCCAATGCTGTTCATGGCATTTTCTTGGCAAAGATATTGGAGTGATTAGCCATCTCCTTCACTGTTAGATTAAGACAAATAGAGGTTAAGTGTCTTGCCCAGGGTCACACAGCTAGTAAGTGTGTGAGACTGATTTTGAGCTCATGTCTTCCTGACTCCAGTACTCCATTCACTGAGCCACCTAACTGCCTCAATTACACAGGTACCTGTATGGTTCGGTTCTTTTCAAAGAGAAAAACACACATAAATGGTAACTGCTTTATTTAAATCATATAACTAGATTTACAACTGAAATTCAAATATACTGAGAGCTTTTCTTAGATCTTTGCAGAGAATTTCAGGCCTTGAATTAATTGAACTTAATTCAAATCCATAATTTATAGAAAACCATTACCATATCAGATATTATCCTAGAGTTTATGGAATTTTTCTTTCCATAACTCTGAAACTGACTTCATGAAAGCAGTGAAGGTTAATTAGATAGAAACCTGGGATCACAGTCAGGGCTAGTGGTAGGACCCCATGTGGATGAAAATTGCATGTATTCAACACGCCCCAATGTGACCTCATTGAGAGGGCTTGAAGGATGAACAATGTAGTCAAGTTGGTTTCTGTTTAATGTTTTGTTCTATCTGTCATTTAATATACTACATTTATAATATGCATAAACCACATTTAACACAAAGAACTACTATGCCTAAATGCACTTAAAGACTTCCCTATATTAAAAAGAGCCAATAATATTTAGTAGCTAATCTTCTACTTGAAGACTTGTGGCCAAATTCTGAAGCTCATACACTAATTCTAGAAGTCTTACTCTACATTCAGCCACCTGACCACTCTTTCCCAACCTATAGATCCACCTTCATTAAAATATCTGCTTCTGGTAACAGAGTCTATGTTTCTGTTTTACATTTCCGTCTCAAGAATCAGCATTGTGCTTTGCACAGATTAAGTGCTTATAAACGGTTGTTGAATTAAATTGACTCATACTACTAATGCTAAATCCTACAAAGAAAAAAAGAGAAGAAATCCTAGACATAATCTAGTTTATTTGCTTTCAGATACATTTATATTGTTATTTTCTGTTTCTTACATTATCAGAATTATCTCATGTATCCCTCTCCTAGAAAGTCAACTCACAAAACAAATAGTATTTTTAGAGAGGAAAAAAAATCAGTATAAGTGATTGATACACTGAAAAAGTTTGAAAACTTATGCAGTATGTAATACTTATGGATTTCCTACCCCCTAGGGAAGAGTTGGGAATGCCCTTTCCTATCTCTTTATTCAAGTTGTTTCTGTTGTTTGGGTGTTTGTGAAGCAAATAATCTCTTCAGTTTGGTTTTCTTTCTAAAATATTTCAAAGCTTTCTTTACTACTGAACATCCATCTTTTTTTGTGTATGGGTAAGTTCAGCTTTTTAGGGCAGGTCATCCTGGGCTACATTGTTAAGTGCCATCGCTCTTTAGAATACATTATTTTATTCCCTTCTATGTTTTCTAGTGGGTGCCGAATCGTTTTGTTTTATTCCAATTTCTTTTCCTCTATATTTGAATATCTTTTTTGTCCTGATCACTTGCAGAAATCGTTATTTCTGAATTGAATTATTAAATTTAACCAGTGCATCATTGTTCCTATTTTAGTCTTTTTTTTCTGGAAGTCATCTTTGAATTCTTTCAATTGGAACTGCATCTTCTATGTTCAGAAATTCTAGTCAGTTCTCTCCTATTACTATGGTGCTAGTTTTTTTTTTTTGTTGTTGTTGTTGTTCTGTCACTTTCTTCTGGGAGACCAAGAATCCTTAGTTTATCTCTACACCTCCTGTCTTCAAGATCAGTATGTTTTTCTTGCACATTAAGCATATTTTTTTCAATATCATTGTTTTTACTTCTTTTCTTCTAGATTGTCCTTCACTTCTATATATTTGTATTCCTAATCAATTGTTCTTTCTTTTGTTTCTTTGGTGAGACTTGTAATCATGTATTGCATTTTTTCTATTTCACCCATTACTTTTTGCTGTGCAGACCATAAATTCTGCACTCAAAAGTCAGGAACAGCATGTTGTGTTTCCATGTTCTCCCCAAATTCCACAGAGCTCACTGCCTCATCAAGTGTTGGATCATTTGCCTTTGTTTTTCAATATTTATTCATAGATGCCTGAACTTGTTTATTAGATTTGAAGAACATATTTTCTTCTGCTGTTAATGTTTTCCCTGTTGGTTTGTGTGTTTATGATTAAGCTCTTTGAGTTTTCTTCTCCCTGAGATATTTCATAATTTTCTGTCTCCACTACTTACCCACCCTCCACCTCTGACCTTCCTTTATTCACTTTCTGACTCTGTCTCCTCTGATGGTGTTTTCCTTAGGAGCTGGATTTCAAAGTTTTCAGCCTCCTCCCGTGTTGAGCAATTTATGGTTAACCAGCCTAGGTCTCTGCCCCGGGTGACTTTTGGGCCAAAACAGACTCAAACTGGATTCTGCGTTCTTTCCCTCAGGCTTACTGGAGTGCTGCATAGCTCCCCTCACACACAGTATCTTGTCCTGCTGTTCCTTTCCCACTCCCTCTATTCCTAAGTTTTCTAGCCCAGCACTCTGGCACTATCAGTACAGTGCTAACGTTACAGGGCTGTGTCCCCAGCAGGCTTTTGCTTCTAAAGGGCTGTAGGCAAGTTGGGTTGCTGTAATGGCCTGGACAAACTTCTACAGCCTGGAGCTGAGAGCAACATGGCATGGGAAGAAGGAGGGAGTACTCAGCTTGGAGGTGAGCTTTGTCACAAACTATGACATGTCCTTGGTTCTGCCAACACAGTCTTATGGACAGCAGCACTGGAGGTGGGAGAAGGGTGCTGAGTAAACTCAGGGTCAGTGAGTGTCAATTCAGTTTTATTTTAACCTTTTGGATTCTAGGTTTCCTAGATCACAGAAAAACCTGAAGTTGCTTTATTTTGGTGCATTATTTTTATTTTGGGGAGGTTTGAGAGGTCATAGAGAATGTCTAGTTCTCCATTTTGTTGATTAGGTGACTTGGAAGTTTAATGTCATCTAGATTAACTCCCTTAGTTTATAGAGTATGAAACCAAGGCATGTGGAGGTAAAGTGATTTGCACAAATTCCTACCTTGAATTAACGGGACAGGCCCAAACTGAATAGCTGGCTTGCTAGCATTTATCTCGCATTTTAAGGTTTGTAGAGCACTCTACAAACATAATATCATTTTATCCTCATAACAACTCTGGGAGGTAGGTGATATCATAATCCCCATTTGACAGAAGAGGAAATTGAGGCAAACAGAGGCAAAGTAACTTGCTTAGAGTTATACATCTAGTAAATATCTGAGGCTGTATTTGGACTCAAGCCTTCATGACTCCAGGGTCAGCGATCTATCCAATAAACCACCCAACTGCATATATAAAACTGAGGTTTCCTGATTCCCAACCTAAAGTCTATATAGTTTTTTTTATGTCTGTATCAGGAATTATATTTATATAACCTATACATTAAATATGCATATGAATTTTATAACAAATTAAATTTTCTTAATAATAAAAGGCTTGACTATTTTTAATAAATGTTAGCTGATCATAAAATGTGCCTGAATTTTTTAAAGTCATCTTGTTGAATCATTTACAGTTAACTACAGTAACAATCCAAAAAGTATTACTGGGACTGGCTGAAACAGATGCAAATGGCAACATGTACCTGTATTATCAAAGACAGGAATAACTAGCCTTTTCAGAGAATCCTTTGTTTCAAGGTGGTGTTATTTTTCCTGGATGCTACATACAAAAGGACTTCTTTTGCCTAATTCTACTTGAAAGTTGTTACATTAAAATCATAGAAGAGACTGGAAGATAACGGAATGAGGAAAGAATACAACCAGCTGAATTCAAGACATCATGACCATTAATGATTGAATAGCAAAGGTAAAGGAAGACACTAAGAACTGGTAGCTAAACATAATTGACAGTACACAAAATACAACAGGGCTAAGTAGAGTGAGCACAATCAAGCTAATCAGAGTCAAATAATGCTTTTTTTTGTACACCAAACCATAATATTGTTTCCTTTTCATTTCCTTTGCTACACTTTGAGTGTTGGGTTGTTCATTTTGGGTTAGTTGAAGTAACCAGCTGTGCATTTTGGCTTCATAAATAAATTTCCACAAACAATTATGTTATTTCCTTGGACATTTTGAATTTCATAGTTATGTTATTTTAAGTGACTGGGTACCCAATAAATAGCATCACATTACCATATGACTAGGAAACCAGGTCTTGGAGGATATACCTAAGACCTCAAGTGAGAATCCCATACTTTTCAAAGAGGGTAGTAGATCAAAATAAAAAACAAATCCGAAGCAAGGATAATCACTTGTTAACTTGAATAATAAATAGAAACCCAAAACCTCATCCCAAGATGTGGAAATGGCCTAAGAGAGCAATCAGTCTCTTATCAATTTCCCCAAACCACATTCTCATGACAAATCAAGAAAACAAGAGTATGGCAGGGGCGCTATGGTCCCTGACTCACTCGCGATGTTTAAGGTTTTTCATTTGTCATAGCAGATAGTTCCATTCTAAAGCAGACGCCAGCATGTAACACTGACTAGTAATATTAACAATAGAAAGAATGAGACATGTCAGTGCCAGCAAGATGCCCAACCTTAAGGGCTAGTTAATTACTTCTATAACTTTTCTAGTCAACCTTAATGGTATCGGACAGTTAAAATTTTGAAAGAAAACCCATAAATTCACAAAAACAGTCTTCTGAGTAACAATTTATTTTTGTCAGCAAACTTTAGGGAACTAAGGAAAAATATCTGGTTATGAAATATCGTCCAAGAGCACTCACCTCTTTTTGTCGGTACTTAATAGCCAACTTCAGTCTTGCAAGGTCATTGCCACTTTGTTCTTCTATCAAGCTGTTATCATCTCTATAATTTAGGATGATTTCCAACTCTCTGGAACTCCTTGTCTGATCCAAAAGGTCCTTAGCAAATTGTTTGCACTGCCGGGAGAGTTCTTCATATTCAGATTTAAATTCATTTTCTACTTTGCTCAGTTCTTGAAGCTCCCAACTCAGTTGAAAAGCTGTGAGAAATGGATCCTCGCTTGACAATGCAATCAGAGATGGGCTTGCCAAGGCCTTGTAGATATTGAGTCTGGAACGAGAATGACGGAGGCTGTCTACATCTGAACTGGAGACACATTCAACACAGTTACAACGAACCTCATGGGGCCTCGGTACAGAAACACCTTTCTGGACTAACAGTTTTATTATCTCATAATTATTTGTGTGGGCTGCCAAAATGATTGGTGTGATATCTGGTGTGAATTCAGAGAACTGCTTATCCAGGAGTATTGGAGGCACCTGAAAGAAAGGAAAAAAAATAATCAACAAGCATTTATTAAGCACCTACTATTTGCCAGATGTTACTCTAGGGATTAGAAATATAAATAAAAATAATGAATCACAACTAATATTATTTAAGTCTTAGTATTTGAAACAACTTGCTGGGGCAAATTTAAATGATATTAAAATATTTTCCACAGCTCTTGTATAGAATTGACCTGGCTTTCATTTTTTTCCCCCTGAAACAATATAAAATCACATTAAAAATAAATTCTTTGCATGATGACACATTTTATTTTTACTACAAATTTATGTATTATATTGTAATTAAAAAAATAAGTTATTTCAGTAGAATCCTACCTACCAAAACTTTCCCTTAAACACTCCATGTTACTTGCTTCTCACTGCTTCCCCAACTCTCTGTTTTTTAGGTGGAAAAGCATCTCTAATATGTTCCTGCCAATGAATGAATGTGCAGCTGTTTCCCTTTTTTTACCTGATAAATTTCTCAATGGAAATTCTTTTAGATATGCCTCTTGGGGTGTCATTTTTATTATGTTCCGTCTCCTTTCAAAAACTCTTGATACTGAATCTCATTATAAAAGGTAGCAATCTTCAGTGATATGTTATTAAAAGCCTTCATCACTCCCATTGTCAATTTATCCTTCCTAATACATTTTCAGGGTAAAATACTCAAAATCATTTCCTTTGTAAGTAGCCATTATTACAAAATACTTATATTTGATAATGTCAGCAATAGATATTTTTAATTTTTCTCTGGGTTACAACAATATTTACATTTCAATATTTTGGTCTGCTTATATTTGAAGGATACTGAAGGCTGAGAAAACAATGTTGAATAAAGGTGAACAAAATATTAGGAAGCCAAAAATGATTCATAAATCCTACACGTGCCAGTTAAGTGATATATGATCATTATCAAAATGATATTGTTGCAAAATATGATAGGCATAGAAAAGTTTGAGCATCCAAGAGTATTCGTTAGAAAATTTGGAAAGTCACTCAATCAAAGGTGTAATCATCCTTAAATGATAAGGATTTATTACATATATGAGGGCAGCTAGGCAGTACAATAAAGTTCAGAGTTCAATTCTGACCTCACACTTAATAGCTGTGTGAATCTGGCCAAGTCATTCAACTCTTATTTGCCTCCATTTCCTCAACTGTAAAATGAGCTAGAGAAGGAAATGCCAAACCTCTCTAGTATCTCTTCCAAGAAAACCCCAAATGGGGTCACAAAGAGTCAGAAATGACTGAAAAATGATTGAATAACAACAACAACACTATATATATGACTTTTTAAAAAGTCAGCTAGCTATTTGAAATAGCCATTTGTTATGTAAGAAATAATTTTATCAAATTTTAAATAGACTTCTTTCTATACCATATTTAGTGTTAAATTCTTCAAGTCAAGCCAACAAGTCAAAAAGCATTTATTAGGTGCTTACTGTGTTCAAGGCACTGTACTAAACACTGGGAATATAAATAGTGGCAGAAAGATAATCCTTGCCCTCAAGGAGTGTGTGTGTGTGTGTGTGTGTGTGTGTGTGTGTGTGTGTGTGTGTGTATTAGAAAGGTATGGAGGCAGATTGTTGGGACAGGAATTCTAAGTTGGCCACGGCAATACATTCACATAAAATGTGTATTCATAGAAGACAGTATGTTCACAGAATAGTTATCTTAAATAAATAATGTTTTCTGTTGTTGAGTCATTTCAGTTGTGTCTAATTCTTCATGACCCCATTTGGGATTTTCTTGGAAAAGATTCTGGGTTGGTTTGCCATTTCCTCGTCCAGCTTATTTTACAGATGAGGAAACTAAAGCAAACACTTGCCCAGAATCACAGTTAGTATGTGTCTGAAGCCAGATTTGAACTCGGGTGCCTCAATCCCTCATTTGGAAAATGCGCTGGACAAGGAAATGGCAAAACACTCCAGTATCTCTGCCAACAAAACCGCAAATGAGGTCACAGAGTTGGACATGACTGAAAAATGACTCATAACCTAATCTCCTCCTACTTGTCTAATATTTTCTAAACATGAGTAAAATGAATTAAAATCACTCTAGATATATTTCATATACAGTCAAATTCAATTCTAACCAAAGCCCAATTAATCTAATTACTCCAACTCTAATATTTTTTTTCAATACTCAAATCTTAGGAGAGCAAGGGAATGACAAAAAAAGACTGCTGTAGGCAATGCATATTTGGAACTCTGGCCATTGTTCATAAACATATGTATGTGCATGTACGTACATGTCATATTTTATATATATGCAGCTCACATACAATATATATGTAGTCATATATGTATGTTTCTCTTTATGTGTGTTGTATGTCTATGAGGATGATAACCATGAGGCATTGGAAATCCTCAATGATCACTGAAAAATTAAATTATCTTCATTGTACACTACAATATACTTGTATGAAACAGCACTAATATATTTTGTTATGTAAGTCTTTTAAAATTAATTTATTTCAGTCAATAAAAATATGTTTCCTCTCCCTCCCACTCTCCTCCCTTCCTTAACTGAGAAAGAAAGGAAAAAACAGAACTTGGTTACAAATAAATTTTGATGTTGTCACTGCCAAAAAAAGTTTCTATTGGTACTCTGAGTCTGTAACCTTTCTATCAAAAGGTGGGAAGCATATTTCAATATGAGTCTTCTGAAACACTGTTTAGTTATTCCATTAATCAGAGTACCTAAGTGTTTCAAAGTTGTTTGTCTTTATGTAATATTTTTCACTATATAAATCATTCTCTTTGTTCTTGTCAACTCACCCTATATAAATTCATACAAATCATCCTAAGTTTCTTTGAAACTCTCCCTTCGGATGCCCATCAATTGAGGAATGGCTGAACAAATTATGGTTTGTGATTATGATGGAATACTGTTGTGCTATAAGAAATGATGAGCAGGATGCTCTCAGAAAAACCTGGACTTACATGAGCTGATGCAAAATGAAATACACTGTGTACAGTGTAACAGCAATATTTTAAGCAGCTGTGAATGATTTAGCTATTCTCAGTAATACAATGATCCAAGACAACTCTGATGGACTTATGATGAAAAATGCTATCCACCCCCAGAGACAGAACTGATGGTATCTGAATACCAAATGAAGCACGCTTTTTAAAAACTTTCTTTACTTTTCTTGAGTTTTTTTTCCCCCATTTGGTCGATGTTTTCTTTCACAACATGACTAATATGGAAATGTTTTCCATGACTACACATATATAACCTATATCAAATTGCTTGCCTTCTCAATAAATGGAGGTGGGGAGGGAGAAAAGAAAAGAATTTGGAATTCAAAATTTTAAAAACGAATGTTAAAAATTATTTTTACTGGGAAAAATAAAGTACTAAATAATTTTTTAAAAAAGAAACTATCCCTTTTATCATTTATTACAGCACAATACTATTCACATGTGTACACACACACACACACACACACACACACACATATATACATTGTACTTATCTATCTATCTATCTATCTATTGCTTCAGCTATTCCCTATTGATGGGAGCTCTCACAATTTTCTAGTTTTTGCTAACATAAAATTAGCTACTATAAAAACTTTTTTTATATCATTAGAGTTTATTTTGCATAAGACTACTCTCTCCTCTAGTCTACCCTTCTCCTTATTCCCCACTTCCTTTATTTTCTTTGCTTCCTGTTTCCCTATTGAATGAAATGTTTTTCTGTACTCAATTATGTTTGTGTATTTTTTCATCCTTTGACCTCTTCAGATGAGAAAAAGAGATTATCAGGGAGAGTGTCAACTGTTCTCCCTGCCCCTAACTCTTTGTATAGATTTCTCCTTTTTTAATCTAATTGTGTGAGACAATTTACTGCATGTTTCCTCCCCCTTTCTTTTCATTCTTCCTTAAAAATCATAAAATCATAGATAATATTTATATAGCACTTACTGCTTACCAGGCACTGTGCTAAGCCCTTTGTAATTAATATCTCATTCAATCCTCACAACTGTCCTGTGAGGTAGGTGCTATTATTATCCCCATTTTATAAAAACTGAGACAAACAGAGGTTAAATGACTTGCCTAGGATCACACAGCTAATAAGTGTTTAAGAATGGATTCAAACTAAGGTCTTCCTGACTCCAAGACCAGTGGGTATTCTATCCACTGCATCACTTAGCTGCCTCAAACTATAGCAACCACTCCCAGGCCCTGGTTCTGATTAGATCTATATGAACTCTTTGACATCTGATGACATCTATGATATCTGATGATGACAGGGTTCTGAGGGTCTAGGTGTATCATCTCTCCATATTATAATGTAATCAGTGTATGCTCATTATTCCTTTATCATTGTTTGTTCGTGTTTACCTTTTATGTTTCTCTTAACTGATATTTTATCTTTAAAGTTTCTACACAGCCTTGGTCTATTCATCAAAAATGCATCGAAGTCCTCTTTTTCATTAAAGGTCCTTCTCCTCTCTTCCACCCCTGGGATTATACACAGTTTTTTTTTTTTTCTGGATAAGTTATTCTTGGCTGAAAGTCTATAACCTTTGCCTTCTGGAGTATCAGATTTCAAGCTCTAACTTCTCTCTAGTGGTGACGTATAATTTGCACGTGATCCTGACTATGACTCTTTGGTACTGGAATTCTTTCTCATTACTTGAAGTATTTGCCTTTGACCTAGAGTCTGTAGATTTTGGCTATCATTCTTCTGGGAGTTTTTCATTGTTTAGGTTTCTTTTTCTGATTCTAAAAAGATCTATGCAATTTCTTTTTATGATTTCTTGAAATATATCTAGGTTCTTTTTATCATAGCTTTCAGTTAGTAAATGGAATGGGATGGAATAAGCATTTATCAAGTATCTAATTTGTGCTAGGCATTGTGATAAACATTTCACAAATATTATCTTATTTTCTTAAATTAATTAAATGATTATTAAATTATCTCTCTTCAATGTTTTCTTGGTCAGTTGGCTTTGCTATGACATACTTTAAATTTTCTTC